CACATCATTACCACTATATTGTCACATTGAAAGTCGACAGGATCATATCATATATATATATATTTAGGTAGTTAAAAAGGCATATATTGGATTTATTAAAAGATTTATTTGCCAATATTCCGGCTGGCTGAACGCCTACCTTTATCGAGGCATTACATTTTTGTATATACAAACTCAGCTCCGGATAGTGCTATAATTTTATATATTTTTTTACTTTTATAATTAGTGTTAATAATATTTAATGCACAAATACACACACACACACACCCCACCTATTTTGTATTCTAAATGATTTCAACTGTAATATTATAACCCTATGCGGCGCTGAGTTTGTGTAAACAAAAATGTAATGCCTCGATAAAGGTTGGCATTCAGCCAGCCGAAATATTGGCAAATAAATATTTTATTCAATCCAATTTATGTCTTTTATTATCTAATGATTTAAGTATGGATTGCTCTATTTTCAGAACAATATATATATATATATATATATGTATATATAATGAGGTGTTATACTGTCGACTAAATATGATGAAATCCTGTTGACTCTTGTAGAATCCTGTCGACTAAAAATGTGGTGAGGTATCCAGTCGACTTAAACTCTGGTGTGAGTCCCTGTCAATTCTCGCTATACTGTGTTGACCGAGAGGAACAGTCAGGAGTTCTCCAGTACCTCTCTGCACCTTGGAAGACCTTTAAAAGTTCTCACAATGTACAGGCAGTCGTGGTCGAGGCAGAGTGGAAAGCTTGGGAATGTCAGGGGCGTGGATCGTCTGATGAAATTCTAAACTGGCGCCGTGGCAGTTTCCATCTTTAGACCTTTGTTGTTTTGTAACTGTTACATCTCGATCTCTGCTTTAGCTCAACTCTTAATCTATTGCAGAGTTTTATTTATTTATCCTCAGTTTGTACAAAGTACATTACATATGATGATGTAATGACACATGTCAATAATGCGTATAAATTACCATATATATATATATATATATACATATATATATATGGAAATTTTGCCGGGAGGAAAATGATCTAAAGAGACAAGGATCGCCTCTCCCGTCAAAATAGACGTCTAAAGCAGACGCCATCTATTGACCGTCGCCGCAACTAGCGGCCTCGGGTCGGTGACAAAGCCACAACACCAGCTTTGGCAAACTGAAAAGCGTCCACCTAGAGACCATGGTTTCGGGCTGATGGCCCTCGTCAGTCCAGGGCGGACTTTATTCCATGAGATCCACACGGGATCTAATGGAATCTTGACAATCTGCCAAAGAGGTGTTTTGCTGGCAAAGTGGCTGGGCCATATCTATGGCCAAAATATAGATGGAAATTTTGCCGGGAGGAAAATGATCTAAAGAGACAAGGGTCGCCTCTCCCGTCAAAATAGACGTCTAAAGCAGACGCCATCTATTGACCGTCGCCGCAACTAGCGGCCTCGGGTCGGTGACAAAGCCACAACACCAGCTTTGGCAAACTGAAAAGTGTCCACCTAGAGACCATGGTTTCGGGCTGATGGCCCTCGTCAGTCCAGGGCGGACTTTATTCCATGAGATCCACACGGGATCTAATGGAATCTTGACAATCTGCCAAAGAGGTGTTTTGCTGGCAAAGTGGCTGGGCCATATCTATGGCCAAAATATAGATGGAAATTTTGCCGGGAGGAAAATGATCTAAAGAGACAAGGGTCGCCTCTCCCGTCAAAATAGACGTCTAAAGCAGACGCCATCTATTGACCGTCGCCGCAACTAGCGGCCTCGGGTCGGTGACAAAGCCACAACACCAGCTTTGGCAAACTGAAAAGCGTCCACCTAGAGACCATGGTTTCGGGCTGATGGCCCTCGTCAGTCCAGGGCGGACTTTATTCCATGAGATCCACACGGGATCTAATGGAATCTTGACAATCTGCCAAAGAGGTGTTTTGCTGGCAAAGTGGCTGGGCCATATCTATGGCCAAAATTAGATGGAAATTTTGCCGGGAGGAAAATGATCTAAAGAGACAAGGGTCGCCTCTCCCGTCAAAATAGACGTCTTAAGCAGACGCCATCGTGTGGATCTCATGGAATAAAGTCCGCCCTGGACTGACGAGGGCCATCAGCCCGAAACCATGGTCTCTAGGTGGACGCTTTTCAGTTTGCCAAAGCTGGTGTTGTGGCTTTGTCACCGACCCGAGGCCGCTAGTTGCGGCGACGGTCAATAGATGGCGTCTGCTTTAGACGTCTATTTTGACGGGAGAGGCGACCCTTGTCTCTTTATATATATATATATATATATTATGCGTGTAGTTGGCTGTAAGTCATACTTCTATTTCTCCTGTTAAAGGCCTTGTTAACTGGAAAGCTAGTGAAATAAAAATATCAAAATTAACTTAGAACTTGTTTGCTTTTTGATTTTATGAATATATTAAGCTTTCAGTGTACAGTGTTTGAATATCAGTGCATGTCAATATACCAACCTCTTTATAAATAGAAAGTTATGTTAGCTTACAAACTGTATTTACTATTCTTCTTCTTTCTTATCTCCACTCAACCATATTGATGGGGTCTGCCGTGGAAGAGTAGAGCTCATCAATGGATGACTCGATATAGTCTATAATGGATTTTGGGGTTGCAGACTGATAATAGCACCTAGTATACTGTGGGAAAATCTTGCAACCATTTACAACCATCATGACTGGGTAAAGTAGAATGTGTCTGCCTTTGTCATTAAAACTGGGAGCACTACTCAGTAGCAGGCCTACTTAGCTCCAAAAGAAATGGCCGCCTCTAACATCAGGAACAGACGCCATGTGCAGCCGCTCCTAACATGGAGTACAAACGCTGCTCACCCTGTATCTCTGGAGCCCTTACAGGGTACTATCAGCCGGGCCAGCTGAGCCCATGTTTTTTAGCGAGCTTATTACTGCTCCCCCTCCTCCTTTTTCATCCGGGCATGGAAGCGGCAAAGGCGGAGTTCCTGTATTTACCCTTGTTTTTAAACGAGAAATAAACAAATATTTATTATAAATATATACATTATATTTATATTAAACAGAAACTATACATAAAACTCCGTTGGAATTCCGAGCTACAATTTCCTGTTTAAAAAATCAAACTTAAACAATTTAGACCCTTGATTAGCTTCAGCCGTAAATTTCTTTACAAAAAAATTATGCAACAAGGAAAAATGTAATTTTGTAGATTAAAACGAAGAAAGTGTTAAACTTTATTAACAATAAACTTCGCAAATTTTCAATTCTGTAAATACCTTTGACTTTAAAGACCTTTTCTCGAATATTTATTTAGACGATCTTCAAAATTTTAAACATCTCAATAATACACACTGTTAATAAAAATACTTTTATTATTAATTATAGTAAAGTAAAATTACTCTTGTTTGCCTTCACATGTGTAGACATGTGGTACACTTACAGTATAAACAGTCGCTAACTACCCACTATGATTATCATGGCCTGTACCTTGCTTACTTAGGATAAATTTAAAAAATAATTAATCTTGGAAACATTTCCTAATTTCAATTATATTGTCGCAGCTGGACCCTACCGGTCCTTCGTAAATCACCCCCTCAGGCCCCGTTGCTCTTCCCTGCAGGCCACCCAAGGACGTCCTGAGAACCACCTCTTCAGTGGTACTCCCTTCCTCTGGCAGTGTCTCTCGGCCTTACCACTGGTGGGGGGACACGAGAGACTCACCAGAAGAGCAGCAGCCTGGCGATGATGGCAATGGCGAGAGTAACGACAGAAGGCGGCACGGAGACTTGAAGCACTGACCTTTATTGTCATCCACTACTAAACATTACATTTAAATGAGATAACAAACAACAGGTATTTACATTATGTTACATCCTGGGGCCAACATAAGAGTGTATTTAGAATTACCTTCCCCAGGAAACAGGACCACAGCAGTCGGCGACTCCTACATCAGTTAGAGAAGGGAAACAGGCGAAAGCGCCATCCATTGGCGGAGGTTGTAATCATTTGGAGGCCTCACACGCGACAATATCTAAATTAAAAATCATAATAAAAAATAAGGAGTATTTTATACACACAAAACGCGATATCCCGGCTAGGGATAATTGCGTCGATTTACATTTTTAAACAGAAACATTTATAAACATATTATACAAGAAAAAGTAATCAAAAATAAAAAGAGAAACAATAACATATATTAGGAACCTGAACCTTTTAGGTTTGAAATATAATCATAAATATATTTACAAAAACAGTTAAATCTGTGACAATTATCTCTAGTATTTACAAATTGATATAGATCTACAACATTATTTACTGTCTGTTGTCTAGCGTTAAAGAAGAGTGGACATTCCAGCAGTAGGTGTCTCGAGTCCTGGATTTCCTTGAAAAGAAGGAGTACAGCACAATGGCACTTTGTCTACTCTATTTTTATCTAAAATCGTGCTATTTTGTGATATGAAAAAGATAATTTTTCTCTCTTAACAAAGTTAACTGTTGGTTATATTGTTAAATAATTGAATTAAATAAATATAAAAATATTTGCAGAGTTTCTTTTATTTAGAAATTGTGAGGCAAGCTTTCACGTGGTCGTGCTTCATCAGGCCATTGGAATCCGGGCACTCTTCACACTACAATTTTCTATATTTCTGTGTATCGGTTAAGTTGTTGAGTGCTCCCACAATATCATCTAACTGAGAAAGAATACGGTTCATATACGAAAATAGCTCAAATATACATGGCCGCCGTCCTAAAAACCTGTGAATCCATCTGCTAAAACTCAAAAAGGTCGAACCAAATAATGTATACTACATTGTGTAGGAATAAATCCAAAACGGCACATATTTGACTTTTAACTGCCAATTTACATTTCCATATACTGATATTTATTTGTAAAACAACACTTGAAGTTACACCGCATGAGTTTCTTTTCAATGAAAAATCAAAATTTTTTTCAAGGTGGAATATTGACTATTCCTAACCTTTTTGGATGAGGTATGAAAGGGTGAATTATGAAGAGTAATCTTGAACGGAAAAATAAAAGTGTCCAGGGATGGGGATCGAACCCACAATGTTCCGCTTACCGGGCAGATGCCATGTACACTAGGCTAGGATATTTATTTGTGAAAAATATATTTAAAATTTTTAAAATAGACCAATACATAAATAAAATCTTTAAATAAAAAGGCATATATTGGATCAAAATATTATTTATTTTTTCAATATTTCAGTTGGCTGAACGCCAACCTTTATCAAGGTATTTTTGCTCTCTCGCTCTCTCTAAATGTCTTTATTTTTTTTATATTAAAATATATATTCAATGAAAATATATATTAATTTTGTTGATGTTTTTATTTATATATAGATATAGCAAATATTTACCATGCAATCGAAATTCGTCTCATTAGTAAAATCCGCAAGTTTATCAAAAAACTAAAAAGCTAAAAAAACTTTATCACATGTATATTCATGTAAGGCTTATTGCAGAATTCTTAATTGCTCTGCAGATGAAATTGTTTGAAAAAGCAAAGACGAGAAAATAACCTCTTCCCTTAAGCATTTTGATGGAAACTTTTAATGAGGAGATTATAAAGTCTTAAGGATTTCTGTTTTGATATTCGAAAAAAGAATTCCTTTCACGAAATGTTGAGAAGCAATTATCTTTTGGAATAAATAACAGTTTAGAAATATATAATAAACAAAATATAAGTAAAACACATAAAATCCCTAAAACATAGCAATTGAAACTGACCTGTCTATAGCGTCCCCTCTAAATAGCGCCTCCCTCTCTATAGCGCCCGATTTAAAATGCGTAGTACGATGCGATTTATATTAAAAGTGACCTGTCTATAGCACCCCCTCTCTATAGCACCATATTTTGGTGAGTCCCAAGAGGGGGTGCTATAGACAGGTTCAACTGTATATATATTTTTAAGATTCCTATTCTGTATCTACTTTTATATTATTTGAGGTGTCCATAATTTTATTTTATTAGGCATTAATAAAACTTTCATCTAAAGTACGTTTATGGCTACAAACATATTTGACAACATCCTATAATCTTATTCATATATTCGGCTTGAATTAGGAAGAATTTTAAATGATAATTGGAGTTTTTCTTCCTTAATTATGCCCAAACAATATCTAAGATAATTTGAACATATTGTCACGTTAGAGAAGACAAGTATTCCAGAGGCTTAATTAAAAACAATTTATTATTTAAATCATATAATGCAAAATGTGTTAAAGGATTTTTCAAGTGGTAATTTACAAGCATGGTAAGGGGGGTGATGACTATGCAAATATTTATGATGATAAACAACAGAGTATTCAAATATAATTAATCTGTGACAAATAATATTAGTTTAAAAGACTTGTTCGTTTCAAGAAACAAATTGTTGCAAAGATAAATTCTGCAAACTATAAGAGTTAATATTCTATCGGCAAATTAATGATCATATCGTTGCCAACCTTTTACTCCTTCATCTATTATAGCACTGCCATCGCGCAAGAACAAATGGCCATATAAAACACATTTATCAAGGAATATAATTGTCAAACTTTATAATATCATGATGTATGTATAATAAAAGTGTAATTAGCAGAATAAAACTCTAATAGAAAAAACTTGATGAAATGGAAAATTGTTGTTGTCGACAGTGGTGTAATTTTTTTATGGAGACAGCAGGCTGTTTACACTTGGTTATCTCGTATGTTTTAAATAAAGGTCGCTGTGTATCAAAATTATTTCAGAGTTATTGTCTGAATCCCGTTATACATGTTAAAAAGTACAACTTCTTTACGTTTTGTCCATGAGTGTATCTTTCAGAGTTATTGTTCGAATCCAGATATCCATTCTAAAAGGAACAACTTCCTTAAGTTTTGTCCATGAGTTTATCTTTCTGAGTTATTATCTGAATCCCGATATACATGCTAAAAGGTACAACTTCCTTAAGTTTTGTCAATGAGCGTATCTTTCTGAGTTATTATCTGAATCCCGATATACATGCTAAAAAGTACAACTTCCTTAAGTTTTGTCAATGAGCGTATCTTTCAGAGTTATTGTCTGATTCCCGATATACATCCTAAAAAGTACAACTTCCTTAAGTTTTGTCCTAGAGTGTATCTTTCAGAGTTATTGTCTGAATCCCGATATATATGCTAAAAGGTACAACTTCCTTAAGTTTTGTCCATGAGCGTATCTTTCTGAGTTATTAACTGAATCCCGATATACATGCTAAAAGGTACAACTTCCTTAAGTTTTGTCAATGAGCGTATCTTTCAGAGTTATTGTCTGATTCCCGATATACATCCTAAAAAGTACAACTTCCTTAAGTTTTGTCCATGAGTGTATCTTTCAGAGTTATTGTTCATGAAAATTTGAATTTAATTTGCTTCTAATATTGATTAGTATTTTAACAAGCGTCATAGCTCTTTTTAATCTGTGGCTGTTTATAGTTTATGTTACTAGATAATGGTTGGCTTTTACTTAATAAACTTGAATGTTTCATAATTCTGAAGATATCAGCAATGATACCCGGAAAATTTAATTATTTATCTCCCCTTTCTACATAATTAATTGTGTCCTCTCATTAGTTTGTAAGCGTGTTTTTAATGACCATAGTATACTAGCATTGCCCCCTTTCTCTCATATATATGTTAACATAAATATAGATAACCAGCAACATCAAAGACATTCTTCCACTTCCTTAAGATTTGTTTATGAGTTAATACTAAGCATCTATATATAACGAATGAAGACATTAGGACCTGAATGTTTCTTTTTACAAATAAATAAAACTTCTACTGTGGTTACTGTGATGATAACATTCGTGGGTTAATGTCTTCTTTCGTTATATATAGACTAGCCGAATGGCCCGGGCAACGCTCGGGTTTTACCCGAGTGCGTATATATTTTAAAAACGTTTTTATTCAAATACTATTCGTTACAATTATAAATTGGCGCCAAGTACAATTTAAGTATTGTACTTTATGTAAAAAAGATAAAATAATCGTGCAAAACGGTATAATATATATATAATATAATATATATAATATAAGGGTATAATAAGGGTATAAAGAAATAATTAGCCTATCGATCAAATATAAAATATAATATAATATAATATATAATAATATAAAATATAATATATAATATAATACAATAAAATATAAATGAGATACTAAAAATTAAATTTCTATTTAATGAATTACATATTTTATTCTTATAAAGATTATCGATTAAAGGTACTTATATATATTTAAAGGTTCTCATAAAGGTTACCGATTTAAAAGTTTATTTTATTTTATTTGAAGAAACATAATTTCATTTAAGTATTGTTATTTATTTTAAAAGATTAAGTAATTGTGCAAATCGATAATTGCCTTAAAAAGAAATTGCCTTAAAAAAATGAACATTCGCGGTGATTTTGTCTTGCATTCGTTTATACAATTATTATATAAATTGGCATCATATATTAACTTTATGAACGGAAAAATGTGTCCAGGGTAGCCTAGTGGTCATGCTATCTGCCCAGTAAGCGGAAGGTCGTGGGTTCGATTCCCATCCCTTGACACTTTTTTTATTTTATCCATTCTGACCAAAATCTATCCGTGAACTTCACACAGACAGAATAAGGCAATTATATAAGTAGATGGCACGTTATTGATTTATATTAATGAAATATTATATTTATAATTTCAATTGCCATCTATCGTTAAGATTTTCATGATTATATTTATATTTAATAGTTAAATATTTCATCTAAGTAATAATATTTATGCACCTCTACAGGACTATAAGATTATGTCCATATAGGTTCCCTATATACTTCTGAGCTGCCTTCCATAGAAAATGCAGGATATATCCCAAAAACAATCAAATAAAATAGTAGAGCGGTTTGGAGATTTATTTGGCGAAAATGTGTGCCTTCAATAAAGGTCGCTGTAATGTATTTCAGAGTTAATATCTGAATCCCGATATACATTTTAAAACCTACAACTTCCTTAGGTTTTGTCCGTGAGTGTATCTTTCAGAGTTATTGCTTGAATTCCGATATACATGCTGAAAGATACAACTTCCTTAAGTTTTGTCCATGAGTGTATCTTTCAGAGTTATTGTCGGAATCCCGATTTACATGCTGAAAGGTACAACTTTCTTAAGTTTTGTCAATGAGTGTATCTTTCAGAGTTATTGTCTGAATTTCGATATAAATGCTAAAAGGTACAACTTCCTTAAGTTTTGTCAATGAGTGTATCTTTCAGAGTTATTGTCTGAATCCCGATATACATTCTAAAAGGTACAAGTACTTAAGTTTTGTCCATAAGTGTATCTTTCAGAGTTATTGTCTGAATACCGATATACATGTTAAAAGGTACAACTTCCTCAAGTTTTTCCATGAGTGTATCTTTCAGAGTTATTGTCTGAATACCGATATACATGTTAAAAGGTACAACTTCCTTAAGTTTTTTTCCATGAGTGTATCTTTCAGAGTTATCGTCTGAATCCTGATATACATGCTAAAAGGTACAACTTCCTTAAGTTTAGTCCTTTAGTGTATCTTTCAGAGTTATTGTCTGAATCCCGATATACATTCTTGAAGGTACAACTTCTTTAGGTTTTGTCCATGAGTGTATATTATGATAAAATATCTAATATGAGGAATCATATTAACTCTACAAACACAATATTGTAGTTTTTGCTGAAGAAAAAGAACGCAAACTTCTTTAGCTATTTCATCAAATGATCACAAAAAGTATTTAAATCAGTAGACATAGATTTAAGAATTATCAATTTTCTATCCGGTTTAAAAACTGATTTTACATGTGTCGGTTAAAAAATTGCACATATATTCTACATTTTGAACATTTTTCATTTTGTCGTTTTGTATTCCAGTATTTTGTCTATTTTCGTATTTCTTTAGAATTTTTTAAATTAAATTCGACTAATATTAACCGAATTATGATATACAGTATGACTTAAATAATCCAAACTCGTCTTCAATTCGAATATTTATCTTGGTCCCTAGAATTTCCTATGGATCTAATTTCCGTTTTTATATCGAATTTTTAAATAATTCGATTTTTTTGTCCCTTGGGCTTTTATTAGCCAAGTTCAACTGTATAAATGATAAAATTTGAGAATTTTTCTATTGTATTAACATTAATTAAAACTTTTGCATATACAGTTAGACCTATCTATAGCGCCTCCTCTTGGGTCTCACCAAAATAGGGTTTTATAGAAAGGGGGTGCTATAGACAGGTCACTTTTAATGTAAAATGTTTACATTTTAATGTTTAAAATCGGGCGCTATAGAGAGGAAGGCGCTTTTTTAGAGGGGGCGCTATATACAGGTTTAGCTTTAATTAAAGAGGCATATATGGTGGATCAAAATATCATTTATTTTACCAATATTTCAGTTGGCTGAACGCCAACTTTTATCAAGGTGTTATAACATATTTAATGTGTGTCAACAACAAACTCAGCGCCACATAACGTCAACAGAATTAAGTTTTTAAAATAAGTTTTAATTCTGTTGACGTTATGTGGCGCTGAGTTTGTTGTTGACACACATTAAATACGTTATAACACCTTGATAAAGGTTGGCGTTCAGCCAACTGAAATATTGGTAAAATAAATGATATTTTGATCCAATATATGCCTTTTTTAATTAAATATTTATTTATAGATTGCTCTATTTTCAAAACAGGTTTAACTGTATAAATAAATTCTAATTGTAATTTTTTCTTTGAATTTATCAGTTTTTGCTGAAAAGTTGCATGCGACACCAGAAATATATTAGGGGGGAGCCCCAACAGAAATATTAATTCATCCTCACAGTAATTTACTCTCAAAACGGCAAAAATTCAAATTATTCCTTCAAATTAATGACAGAATTTTTGATTAATTAGAAGTGGGAATATTTAAGGTGGTAATTCATTAACATTTCTCTGATTTTTTTTTCTAATTAGAATTTTCTCGTTCATTTGAATAAAAATTAATATAAATTATCATCAGTACAGTATAAATGTGTCTGATAATTACGTATATTACAAGGTATGATCATAAAATTCGGGGATTTGGTTCATAAAAGATTTATTAGATGAATATGTACAAAAATGGTTAATATTCCTCAAAATACTGTCCGAGGGAATCTATACAGCGTTTCATTTTTTTCCCAGTTCCGGAAGCACCCACAAATTTGTCAGAAGTAATGCCCCTCAACACACTCAGCGATTTTATATTGTAATACATCCCTGGACACTTTATTTTTCCGTTCATAATTACTCTTCACAATTCATCACATAGTCATCATTGAGTAAAATCTCGTCCTCCGTGCTTACTCTCGATGTAACTTCGCCCGATAAAGAGCGAAAACTCGAAAGCTCGCGGTGTTTTGTAATAAAGAAAGGTATTACGTAAGTTTTTTAGATATTTCATAAACTTTATCGCAATTTTCTTATATTTGCAACTAATTAGCTGATTAAAGTTACTATTACTGTGGAGGGATGGTCTAAACCGTTGGTTTTCGACCGCTACGACCCGGGATCAAATCCCGCTTTGAGAACCTTTTTCTGATATAAAATAAAATGCTCCAATGGACCCCGATTCTCGTAAAAGTCCAACCCTACCAGCAAGTGCAAGAAACCAAACGGGGCTCTGGCACATTTGTAAGTGCAAAGTCGAACTGCTTTTCACATGTATACATGTGGTACATTCACAGTAAAAACAGTCGCCAACGTCTACCTATCAAGAGTAGCATGGCCATGTGTTCTAAGGATAATAAAATAAAATTATTACTGTCATTTCTGAGGAAGGCAATTTTGAAGAAATTGCTTTTGTATTTTTGTTTATCTCCTTGGCCAAGTTTCTTTAGACAATGATTTAAAATAATTGAATTGTATAAGCTTGAATATAGCCAATTTGTTATGATGTTAGAAATGTATTGACACAAATATCCCTGAGTGTTATAGGATGTTGATAAATTTAAGTATTACAGTTTTTTTTTTTTGTGGTGGGTAAAAGTTTTTTTTTATTATTATTATTATTATTCCTAGTACACGTGGTACAGGCCATGAAAATCATAGTAGGTAGGAGGAGGAGGGGGAGCAGTAACAAGCTCACTAAAAAACCTGGGCTCAGCTGGCCCGGCTGATAATACCCTGTAGGGCTCCTAATCCAGGTATACAGGATGAGCAGCGTTTTTGGAGCTAAGTTGGCCTGCCACTGAGTAGTGCTCTCAGTCTTAATGACAAAGGCAGACGCATTCTACTTTACCCAGTGTGGAGATAAGAAAGAAGAAGAAGATAGCGGGTAGAAGTAGGCGACTGATCTTACTGTAAGTACACCACATGTCTACACATGTGAAAAGCAGTTCGACTTTGCATTTACAAATGTGCCAGAGCCCCGTTTGGTTACTTGCACTCGCTGGTAGGGTTGGAAGGTGGAGGAAAGCTGAAGTTGTAAGTATGCAAATTTGTGTTTAATATTATCTCTAGATTTTTTTAGTATTATTTTTCTTTGTTTATCTAACTGTGTTGACGGAGGGTCATTACAAGTTTGTTTTTTTAATTGTCTCCATTAACTGAAAGTTTGTTAGTTTAAAATAAAGAACAATACCGTGTCACTCGCTGGTGGGGTTGAACTTTTACAAGATTCGGGAGAAATTGGAGCTTTTTTTTTTAAATCAGAAAAAAAGTTCCCAATACGGGAATCGAACCCGGGTCCTAGTGGTCGAAAACCAACGGTATAGACCATCCTTCCACCAACCCCCGTAAGTATTACTGTTATTCCTGCATATAACAAAAGAAGGAATCGCCAAACATCATTTCGAAGATTGAATCAAAGTTAACGATGAAGTGTCTTTATTTGTGCGGTATAATCTTGGCAAGTTTTCGAACTATGACGTCTTCCAACAAGCAACTATACAAGTATATATGGCATGGCATATTCCCCCAAGGAATCTATGAAAGGGGTGTACAAGTTGTCGTTCTCAATTTTTTGACGGACGGCCGCTGATTCATCCACATCTCGTTGATCACACTTGGACCTTGCCTTGTTGCTGGTTCTTCGGCCTCTCTTAGATGCGACCCTGTCTACCTCGTCCTTTTTAATAGAAATCAGACGAATGTAACCACTAGGCCTATGACTGCAGTTGCTCTTTGTATGACATACACTCATTAAGAATACTTAAGGAAGTTGTACCTTTTAGCATGTATATCGGGATTTAGACTATAACTCTGAAAGATACACTCATGGAAAAAACTTAAGGAAGTTGTACCTTTCAGCATGTATATCGGTATTCAGACAATACCTCTGAAAGATATTTGATACACAGTGATATTTATTGAAGACACACGAGGTAAACAAGTGTGAACACATTTGCCACTGTCTCCTTAAAAAAAAAAACAGATGATGGCAACATAAAAATCGGTTATTGTTTTTTTTTTTTTGCGACATCAAAATATGAAACTTATTTAAGTTTTGTCTATGGTCAGGTATCCCTGTTCGAAAGCTTCGAAAGGTATGTCATGAGAGCATATACTGATATTATTTGATAATTTTCCTTTGTCAACTTCCCTGTGAAGAATTTTCCAATAAGTCTTAATATAATTTTAGTAACTTCTAAATGTGGTGCATGACTTTGAAATCTAAAACATTATTTTTAATTTGAATTATTTGTGAAAAACTCTCATTTTGTTAAAAGTTTCCATTTAGAAATTTATACACAAAAGAGCTTAAAAAACAGAGTTGACTGAAGTTAGGGATTTAAAATTAAGAAAAAAACATTTCTTGACTGTTAAAATAAGCATTTAAATATGGTAGAGCGCTATCTATCGGGAAAAATATAAACTAAACATTGAGTAACTCCACAATATAATAAGTATTTAAAATATGAATATAAAAAATAGTATTTATTAGGTTTTTTTTTTATTATTATTATTTTATTAATTAATTATAATTCATATTCATATAATTTTATTGTTACTTATCATCATTCTTTTTGTTGTTGTTTTTTTTTTTGTGTTAATAATGGTCTCGTTTTTTTTTCTTTTATGTAATAAATACAATTAAATCGCATTGAATCTTATTGTAATTCTTTTTTGTTGTTTGAGATAATTCGAATTGAATCGAAGTGAGTCAGCTCGTTCTTTCTAGAAGAAAGTTCGAAGAAAACGTGCTAACAGTATTTATTATTAAGTTGTTAACGTGATAATCCTGTTGAAGGACTGACAAGTCCGAAAGCTTGAAAATAAAAAGTTGCACAAGAAATTTAACCCTGGAAGCGCTTCATTTATTTTATAAACTGTTTTTTCCTAGAAAGTTGAGAGGTAGCCAAGAGTGAGTTGTCGCTTCACTGAGGCAAACGGACTCCAGTAATATCGTTTATTGACATAAATCGACTGACTGCTGGTAGTTAAAAACTGTCGCTATTTATATACAAAATTCTATGAAAACCATTATGCAAAACAATATTTGCATATCCATAATTCAATATGCAAATACACTACATTAACAATGATATTGCCACGAGGAAAAATTAGGAAAATCAAACTTTGGATGACACAGCAATTTATTTAAGGAAAATACAAATGATAAACAAAAGATAAACAATGAGGGAAGTTTGCAGAGTTGCAAAATAATATCAAAATGATACTCTGTTTATAAAATAATAAATACTTTGCTAAAATATGATTATTTTTCTGAATATTTGATAAATATGAATGCTAATCATTTGAGCGATCAGAAATCAAATTGTTTTTAGATCCTTGGAATATTACTAATAAGCTATTTGATAGCAAATTTGACGTATCCTTCTTTGGTTGGAAATATTGCCAAGTTTCTCTATACCCCGGCCACAGTGAGCTCCATGGTACCCATGTCAATCTTCGCTGGACTCTGCCAAGGGGTGACCACATGTCTGAGGGGTTCTTGGAATCTTATCGAAAGATAAGAAAAAAACGAGACGCCTCGTTGGCTAAAATACGCTTTAATTATTATTATCTGTTATATGTGTTTTTTTTATTTGTTTTTTCTCCTCTAAATGAAATACATTTGTATATGAATATTCGAAACTATTATGAACGCATATGATTCTTTTTGAAACTAAACTATTTCTTACTGCCCTTACTGCAATGGAAAAATATGGGAGGGCCTGGATCATCAGTGGTGAACCCTCCCAGCGGATTCGCCAGTTTAATCTACCATACCCTGTTATATTACATTTTTGGAACTTCCTTTTAGAGTTATACTGTTACTAGACTCTTGGAATGGGTATTTTAGATTAACTATGGGCATAAGCTTTGAGGACAGCAGAATTACATACAATTATAAATATATAATTTTATTTTAAATACAAGAAAATAAGACCATATCCAAATAAATAATAGTGTGTGACGTTTCGTAACAGCTTTGTTACCATCATCAGATAAAATAATGAATGATGGTGACAATGCTGTTACCGAAACGTCACAGACTATTTAATTTATTTGGATACGGTCTTATTCTATTGAGTCCATAATCTATAATCCAAATTGTGCTTTATTAATACTATTACGTCGTACCCAGACGCAGTACTTTGTCTTCTCGGGATGCCACAAAGATATAAATGCGAGTTCGAAGGGATGCAGCTAAAGTTATCGCTTAATTGTATCTCACTTAACAAAAGGAATACAACAATGAGACTTGCCTTCAACCTCCCGGGCAGAAGAATCCTTGGTGCGCCGTGGATGTCACTCTTGTAAAGCGTTCCGCTCCATAGACTACAAGTCCAGCCTGGACTACACCGGCTTGTAGACCGCTCCGATGTCAGGCTCTCCTTGTAGGATCATCCACACGCCCGGAGGCAAGTCGCCACGTCTTCTCCTCGCCGCAGATGTGACTAGACTCTGTCCTCCCCCACACAGGAATGCTGTTTTTGGCGCCTGCCACATGGCAGCTGGAGTCCACCCCTCTTTCTCCAACTTTACTCTGGTATCTTGGTATTGTCATCCACGTTACAATATTATTAGACAATTGACAATTCAAACAATTTTATTGAATATTTTAATCAAATTTCACAAAGGAGAAAAAATAGAAGAGTAAAAGGGCATATAAAGTGTAGGGGAATATATATATATAGTTGCGTACAAATGTCTTCAGCAAGGAAGGCTTCCCCACCTTGAAAGAGTTCTCCTCCAGACAAGGTCTTCACCCCTCAGTTCCACACCGAGGAAGTACCTATAGATGTGTGTCTTAGTAGACGTCAGAATGGTCAGGGTGTCATCGTCTAGGCCATGTACCTAGCCCTGCAGGTCAGGGGGGATGATGGTAAATCATTAGAACATAAAGGTAAATACTCTTCTTATAATAAATTGATTGTTAACAAATTTGGCTTTGCTTTGTTTATCTCCTGGACAATTTACATTAGGAGAATCCAGGGAGAGACATCCACCTATATCGACCATGGAAAGAGACCGATTCATCTTGTATCACGCAACATCTCGGACCCTCATCCGTCTTCTTGGGACGAGATGATTTGTTTCAAGTCCAGTGATCATTAATTTCTCGCTTCAAATTTCGCACAAATATTCCTTTGAGAGTTTTTTTCCCAGACCTTCCGACATAATGATTTATTTCCTTGTTAATGATGTTGTTATTGTGTACAGTACATCTTTATATTTCTCAGCTCTACGTCATCTGATATATATATACACCTATCCCCCGATTTACACGGTAGATACGTTCCTGAGAAAAACGTGTAAATCGGGGGATACACAGAAATAAAAATAAAATGCATTGACAGGTTAAAATATGTAGTCAGCACATAAGCTCGGAATTCCTCGTGAGATGTGTACACAGCGCATGTGTTCAATCACAGTAGCATTTAGTATAGTGCGATAAAAACAAAAAAAAAACTTATTTGGAAAACCGTGTAAAAGCGAAAACGTGTAAAACAAGTACCGTGTAAATCGGGGGATAGGTATACTTTGTTCCATCATATTACTTCATACATTTCTCTATTCATGATGAAATTGTGAAAAACTTGTGAAATTACAAAATATTTCCTCACAATGAGTTTCTTTTTAAATTGCTAGCTTTCAAGTGATAATCGCTCTTCAACGACAATATTTCTTGAAAGCTAGCAATTTAAAATAAAAAGAAACTCATTGTGAGGAAATATTTTGTAATCAAAAACCCACTTCATACATTTATAGTTTTTCCAAATTATATTTATTTATTAATATGAAATTTCGTTTATAGTGTGTGAATCCATTTATGCATACACCAATACCTCGCTTTGCGTCGTTTCGTTTTGCGTTTTTTTCGAAGTTGCTTCGCTTCTTAATTTTTACTGATTTTCACTGTGCGTCGTTAGATTTTCGAAGTAGCGTTGTTTTGGATTCTAGCCTTTAATTTTTTTTTCCTAAAATATGGCAACACCTTTGTTTTTGATTGCGCCTTCACATATTCTCACTTTGCGTCGTTTCAATTTGCGTCGTGTTTTTTTGGAACGTAACCCCGACGCAAAGCGAGGTATGGGTGTAATCAGTTAAAGCTTGTATTTGAACATTTATATTCTTTACTTGTACATATTTCAAATATAATATATATTAATTTTATAAGGCAATAAAACGCCATCTACACATAAGAATACAAACATACAGTTCCATTGTTACGAATAAAGTAATCATTGAGAAATGAATAAATTCACACACAAGTACGAAAATTTCTTTCACACACATCGAACAAACTTCTACTGTTATTACTGCGATGAAAATATAATGGGAGGGCTTGGCTC